CTACCACTGGAGCACCCAGAGCCTTCCCAAACCCAGCTTCTCTTACTCAACCTTTCACTAGCCTGTGCTCCACAGCAATACCTCTTTCTCAAACAGTCCAGATTCCAGTTGTGCCCAGTGACATTCAGTTTATTCCTCCCCCAGTCACTTGGCAGCTATTTACGTTTTATTGTTTATATTTTGGTGGTACTGGGGATGGAACCCAGGGCCTCCTATATGCTAGGCAGGTGCTCTACTGTTGAGCAACTAGTAGATTCTAGACAAGGACTCTCCTGCTAAGCCATACCCCAGCCTTTGACAGCTATTTACTAAATTTTAGTATGGCCAGACTTTGTTTTAGGTACCTGGAACTCAGCTACAAAAAAGATGAATCCCTACTGTCAGACAGACAAAAAATAGAGAAAATGTACTAAAATTTGCTTGGACCTAGTGGCACAGGTCTGCAATCCCAGCTGTTCCCCATTCTACAGCAGAAAGATTACAAGTTTCAAAACCTGCCTGGGCTACAGGGTGAGGGCAAGGTCAGCCTGCACTATGTAGCAAAATGAAGTCTGTTTCAAATGGAAAAGCTGGGCTCAGTAGTTAGGACTGCTTACTGCTCTAAGTGCTGGGGGTGCAAATTATTGGTGGAGTACTTGCCTAGCGTGTGTGAGGCCCTGAGTTCAACTCACAGTCTGGAAAGAGACTAAAATTTGCAGGGAGGAACTGAAGCGATGTGAGGGGTAGAGACTGGAAGTAGAGGGGACTTGCTTTAGGTAGAGGTGGAGGGAAGGCCTGTCTCAAGAGGTGACATTTGAATAAAGGCGGGATGAAGGGAGGAAGAGAGAATGTTATGATAAGGAACAGCATTGCAGTCAGAGGGAACAGCCAGTGCAAAGGCCCTGAGGTCAAGACAGGCTTGAGTCATCTGAGGAGCAGCAAAGAGGCCCCTATGGACAGAGTGAAATGATGGAAGAGAGATATGGGGGATGGAAGAGCACCTCAGAGTATGACTGTTTTCCCTGACCATCTCTAGGTCTCTGCCACTGCTGTTCCTTCTATCAGATGTCCACTTTTTCCTTCCGTTTTTGAGATGCATGTTACTATGTAGCCCTGGCTAGTTGGAACTAGGAGAGATCTGCCTGCCTCTGCCTCTGGAGTGCTGGGACTCAGAGCATGTGCCACCGGACTCAGCTCAGACACACTTCTCTTTAACTACCTGGCAATTACCTAACTAATTCTTTACCCCTCTGTGAAGCCTGGCCTGGATAATCCCCACCAAGGTGTGTCTGTCCCTTCAGGCCTCCCCTTTCCCTGCCTTTCCCCTGCTGCCTCCCATTGTGGCCACTCCTTCATGCTACAGGCAGAGGTAACACAAGGCCTTTGAAATGAAACCACACAATGCCAAGGGCCAGAAATGAAAGGGTAGGACAAGGGGGAGCAGACTGGGAGAGTCTCAAAAAGGTGACACAGTGACCCAAAAATTAATAAATTTTATAAAACGTGCTGGTGAACAAAGGCACCTACTGCCAAGTCTAACGACCTTGAGTTTGACTCTTAGGACCCACATGGTGGAAGGAGAGAGCTGACTCCTGAGAGTTGTGCTCTGACACCCCCCCACACCTATACAATGGCACATGCACACCCACATACATATGCACATAATAAATACATAATAATAATTGAAAAATAAAGTCAGGTATTGTGGCGTGTGCAACAAATTTAAAAATAAAGAAAATTTAAACAGTGACCTAAATGAACAAAAGGAGCCAGCCTTGGGGAGCCGTGCTGGGACAGCATTCCAGAGCAGAGAACAGCCTGTGTAAAGGCCCTGTGGTTGGCAGCAAGGGGAGGAGACCAGAGTGGCTAGACAGACACTTTCTAGGCCAAATAAGGGTGAGAAACTTCCTAAGATTGCTTGGAGGGCAGGACCTGACTTCCCATCAGTGAGAGTGAACAACAGTGCCATGTAATGTTTTCAAGGCCCCAGAGTAGACTGGAGAAAAGCCAGAGATGCTTCAGGGGCTCACCGGGACTGTTATCATTATTATGTGGAGATTTTTACAATTAGTTCTTTGTCTCCCTTCTTAAAGCTCAGAGTACAGTTCTGTCTCCAGTGTACCAAAATCCCCAGTGGGCATTGATAAAGGCTCACTGAGTAAATGAATGCTGGAAGGTTGAGCAAGAATCTGGCTTCATTCCCCAGCTGCATCCCGGGAGACAGCTTGGAACCTCCCAGGCAGGAGTGGTCTGGGCCCTGGGCAAGGTACTTCTAGCCAACCCAGTGCCTGGTCTGGCTGAAAATCTCCCTGCCTCCTCTGCCCTATCCATAAAATGCATGTGTTTCTAAACCACTATGTAGGGGCCATGAGTATCCTGGCCGACTCTGAAGGTGAGCAAGGGCCTCTCTCTTTTTTTAATCTAGAAGGAGAAAGCTGGACAACTTGTTTGCCAACTTCTTTAATTCACTCAAGGAACATTTTAGGTATAATTAAGATGTCAACTTGCTGGAGGGGGTAAGTGAGGGAGATACTTGAGAAGGCTAGAGCAGATCACACAGATCCTTGTGGGTAGGAATTAGGTGTTTTTTTTCTGAGTGTAGGGGAATCAATGGAGGCTTCTAGGGACATGCTCGAGTTAGCTGTTCACAGGCTCACAGGCCCCTCTGGTCTGTGAGGCTAGAGCAGATCACACAGATCCTTGTGGGTAGGAATTAGGTGTTTTTTTTTCTGAGTGTAGGGGAATCAATGGAGGCTTCTAGGGACATGCACGAGTTAGCTGTTCACAGGCTCACAGGCCCCTCTGGTCTGTGGTGGGGAGAAGAGACCGTGGGAGTTAGGCAGTCTGGGGAACTGGGGAGAAGGGTCCAAATAGATCTGTGAAGCTCGGGGAATATGAGGAGCTGTAATTCTCCTTTTCCCTGTTAAATTGCCCCCAAAGAGTTGGCCAGAAGGAAAAGAGAGAAAAACACCACAGCTTGGTCTCTGGGATGATAGAAATTACCCAAGGTACTTGTGGCTGAATCCTGGAAGGCACTGTGTTGGTATGCACACTTCCCACCTGGAGTCCTGAGGATCATCTGTGAAGCTCGGGGAATATGAGGAGCTGTAATTCTCCTTTTCCCTGTTAAATTGCCCCCAAAGAGTTGGCCAGAAGGAAAAGAGAGAAAAACACCACAGCTTGGTCTCTGGGATGATAGAAATTACCCAAGGTACTTGTGACTGAATCCTGGAAGGCACTGTGTTGGTATGCACACTTCCTACCTGGAGTCCTGGGGATCTAAGTTTGGGTTTCTGAGTGAGTGAGGGGTCCTGGCAGACTGGCAAACCAAACTGCCCAATTACTTCAGTCACCTAGGAGAAACTCTGCAGAAGTCTCCACATTACACCTAGGCACCTGGGCACTAATATGCACTGATGGAGTTCCATCTGATAGTAGCAGCCAGGAAAAAGAAGCCAGTCCCCATTTCACTGAAGGCAAAACCTAGAACTTCGAAAGCTCAAGGATCCACAGGGCCAAGAGCACAGCAGAGAACCCACTGGGATTCAAAACCCTTTGATTAATAGTGACAATATTAAACCTGATAAATATCAGCAAAACGGCTCAGCGGGTAAAGGTGCTTGCTGACAGCCTGACAACCTGAGTTCTTTCCATATATGCAGGCAATACACTTATACACAGAAAATAATATTAAAATATTTCTAAAATTTAGAATAGGGGTTGGAGAGGTGGCTCAGTGGTTAAGAGTTCTTGAAAGGACCTGAACTCGGTTTCCCACTTCAGGTAGCTCACAACAGCCAGTAACTCCAGATCCAGGGGATGTGACGCCCTCTTCTGGCCTCAGCCGGCACTAGGTATGTACGTGGTGCACTTACATGCAGGCCAAATACTCATAAAATAAAAATAAATAAGATCTTTAAAAAATTAAAATAAGCTAGGGTGGTGGCGCATGCCTTTAATCCCAGCACTCGGGAGGCAGAGGCAGGCAGATCTCTGTGAGTTAGAGGTCAGCCTGGTCAACATAGTGAGTTCTAGGCCAACTGGGCTACAGGGAGACGCTGTCTCAAAAACACCAAAAAAAACCAAAACCAAAACCAAAACCAAAACCAAAAACAAACCACCCCCAAAAACCAAAAACATCCCCAAAACATAAAAAATCAGAATAAAGCGCTTGCAGCAGCCGAACTTCATTGCACGCTTTTGTTCTCCACTTGACACACCCTCACTTGTTTTATCAACACCCTTTCCCACTTCCCGCACGCAGAGCTCTGAGGGGTGTGCGGGGGTCTCCCAAGGCTCGGAAGCTGGGATGTGATCTCAGACCCGCACAGGGCTTGCCAGGTAAGGGTGGAGGGCACGTCTATGCTACTGAGCTGGGGGAAGCTGGAGTCCAGCGGCCTGGGCTTGCAGACCCGAGGCGGGGCAGGAAATGGATCCAGAGTTTTGCTTTCTGAGGAGTCGTAGAGGACCCCAAGGCCTCGACAGCGGGCTTTCCCTCGGCCCCGTCCTGCCTGGGATCCTGGCGCACGTCGGTGCTGGGGCGAAGCAGGGCGCAGCGGGGGCGCGCGACACGGCTGAGGGGATGTCGGGCGCGAGCCGGAGCCCCGGGAGCCCCGCCCAGCCCCGCCCCCTCCCCTCCCCCGGCGGCGACCTCGGCGCTCACGTGACCGGCCCCGCGGCCGC